GGGCGTCCCGGGGCGGGGGCGGTGCTGACAGGACAGCCCGGCCGGAGGGAAAAGCCTCCAGAAGACACAAAAAGGGGGAAAAGGAAGGTGGCAAGCGTGCTAGGAGCTGCACAGCTGCTTCAAAAATGTCCAGAAATCTTCGTGTATCTCCGGGATATACAGGGTATCGCCTTTGGTAAGGCCTCATCATCCTCTTGTCTTCCAGACAGGAGCCAAAGCCCAGGGATGTGCGGCCTTGTCTCTGTGCTTCTCTCTAGTTTCCAAGGAAAAGCAAAGAACCTTCCTCTACCTGCTTGCTACTACCAGAACAGGAGCAGAGTTAAGGCCAGTGAAGCAGGTCCACAAATGATGTAAAATAAACCAGGCTGCAAGAGGACAGTTTCACACATTTGTCTTTGGAAGACAAAATGCAGAATTAGGTTACCAGGGTGGCAACAAACTAGTTTCTGCCACCATTTTATGGTTAATCTGCGACCAAGTTTCTTCGCTCATGGGTAGGTAACTGTGCTCTCTGTTGGTCATCTTGGCAGTTCTGCTGCAGTGCAGAATAGAGGTTATCACACTGCATGCTAACAAGTTATGCCTCTGGTTCCAAGTTGTCTGCAAGTAACACCCATAATTAAAAAAATATATAAAATGACAGGAGGAGGGAAGATTTCAGACATTTCCATTTTGTTTACTCTGTGAACCTGAGATGAGAAAGCTACTAAAAATTAACTGACACCATTTTGTCCTGCTTAGGTGTGTGTACTTCTGTCAGCAGTTCCTGTCTTCATCAAAATGAGGTGGCTTAGCTGGGCTCCTAATTTCCATTGTTTTCCTCCGTAGGTGAATAAAACAAAATGTATCATCAAAATGTTTCCTTATTCTTACAGGAAAGCAGTTATCCTCACACAGGACTCCAAACAGCAGCAGAGGTCAGACTACTCTTAAGACCATGCTAATTACCAGATGTGCCAGGCCTGAAAAGCACATTACTTTTCATTACTGCTTCCCTTTTGGGCAGAGAGTGTGCCTGGCTGCTGGGCTGAATGAAGCCAGAGGTCCATGCTGACATGGTTTTGTACCATGTACTGAATAAACCCACCAGCTCTCTCTGAACTGCAGGTGACTGGGGAGTGATGCCCATGGGGCTCCCAGGCAGTTACATGCAGGAGACTGTGCTGACCCAAGGAAATCTAACTTCTCAGTTTCAAGAGGAGGCAAGTCTGATGGGGTCGCTGATTTGTGAGGTTGCTCCATGCCCCAGCTGCACCCTCTGGTCAGCCCAGCTCTGCCTGTTCCTGCAGGACTGGAGAATTCAGGGAACTCCTCCAGGGAGCTGTGGCTAGACCCTGCCTGCAAACTGCTGTCCAGAGCCCTTCATTCCATAACCCTGAACAGTATATTTGTATATACTTGTATATATTTGCTCCACATCTTCTGTGTTAATGCCCTTTCCTTGTTCCAGTAAGCCTGTTACAATTTTTATTTCCAACCTTTAAGTCTCTCTTCCTTATTCCCCACTTTTATATTCCCTTGAGAGGGTGGAGGGGGCTAATAAGACAGCATTTCTGTCCTCTGGTTTTTGGTTTGCCCTGACCACTAAACTGAGACATAAAAAACCTTCTTGCTCTGGAAACATTAAGACAGGCAAAAAGGGGAATGATGTAGTTACTGCTGCAAAGAAACTTCTTCCTCTCACATTTGCACAGCTGCCCTGCAGCTCTACCCACAGCAAGGGGGTACTGTGGGCCTGAAATTTGTTCTGCTTTGTGTTTTAAAGACAGGGCTGTAACCAGCTCTAACTCATCTATTTGCAGCTGGAATACAAGAGGGCAGCCCATCACAGTGCCAGCTGGAGAAACTGAGCTCACTTGAGCAGGGAAAATTGCACACATACTTGGCCCTCCAGCTCCTGCACCACTGCACCACCAGGGGCAGTTCGTCTGCAAGGTCTGGGATTCTGCTATAGAAAATAAAAAAAGACTGGGATGCAAGAGCAGTCACTGCTTGGATGGCAGAGCACCTAGAGCTGCTCTCTCCTATTTTATCATTCCACTGTAGTAAAGTAGCAGGAAATGCTGTGACAAGTCTGCACACAATTCCCAGTTGACGTTAACTACAACTTATTTTACAATTGAAGTGCTGTGGAGTGGCTTTAGCAAACTGCTAAGGGCACACCTATATAAATACCACAAGACTGTTTGCTGCAGCTTTATAATTTCTTAGTTCTGTTGAGCTAGATAACCACTACATCTGTCTCTCACCTGCCCCAAACCTCCCTGGTTTTCTGGTGATCTCACATCTCAACTGGTGGCTGAAGAGATGGAAGCAAGAAAGACTGAAAGACTCTTGTGATGGACAGCAGAACAGTTTGCCAAGACTAAAAAGTATGAGACTTTAAACAAGATTTGTGAAGGACAAAGACATGCTGAGAACTCCAGCAAAATTTATCAGTGTCTATGTGTTATTTCAAAGTATCTACCTAGCAGGAGCAGTGAAATGCACAAACTTCATGACAAGAACATTCCTCTATAGCATTTTAGGAATTACTCCAAACAATAAGGATGAAATGGCAGGAACAGAGAGTGGCATAAGGCTTTCAGTCAGACATCTTTTCTTGCAAAACTGAAGCAACTTCTGTTCCAGGGGTATCAGCAGAATGGGCAAAAAAAGTTAAAAATTGAGGAATTAAATGGCTGATAAAGACAACATAAAAATAGGGTAGTACTTGTCAGGGATATATACTTAGAATTAATAGAGGACAGAAAAGATCTCATACAGGAAAAACTGAACAATCTAGAAAATGGCACAGCAGAAACAGAACAGGATTTAAAAGCATCAAAAACTTCTCTATTGGAAAATATCTGATGAGACTAAATACCCCAGCCAATCATAGGGTCTCCAGGAGGCTGCAGCAGGGAAGGTAATTTCAGCAAGTGAACTAAATGCTAATTCCACCATATAACCCTGATAAGTCAATCCAAGATTTTAATTCCAGAATTGTGGTTTCAAATTTGCCAGTTTTTTCAAGTTAAAAAGAGGTGGAAAGATGTTTATCCTTCCTAAGGGAATTACACACAAGTTCACAGGACCTAACCCTGCAGAAGTGTCATATAAGACTTCCTTCAAACTTCTTCCAGTCCTGGAAATGCCAAATCTGAGTGGAGGAATAGGCCATCTGCTCCAGGGATCAGACACAGCAGGAGGCAGCACAAACCTGGCTCCAGCAACGAACACTCTACCACTATCTCTCTTGGTAGTCCTGATGGCTGTAACAGACTATTAATTTAATTTGGTGGTAATGCTGTTTTGGTTTTGGCAACTTAACAGTTTTCTAAATAAAGACTTGAATTTAGAGAAACTCTCCATTCTTCTTCAGTAAGACACTCAAGCCATTCACAGTTAAAATCTGAGGTAGTTATGTCTGTAATTATAACAAAAAAAATGCCAAAGGAGATTATAATGTAGAGGTTAACAGAATATTTCTACATGATGAGTAAAAAGCATAAAATTCCTTTTAAAAATAATAACTGAATGGAAGTCAGAGGATAACTTCACATTAGGAGGACACAGCAGGGACCCCAAATGACAGAAAAAAACCCACCACATATTTTTCTTAAGTATCATACTGTTACCACTGTGAAAGAAACAACAAGACAATCTTCCTAGACTCCAGCTGTGATGGAAGCCAGCAAGCAGATACCTTAATCATTATGGAGAAGCTATACTTACACAGAGAAGCTCAAAATACAGCTTTTCTTATAGAGAAAAAGGCTAATCACTCATCTGTTTTTATAGCTGCTAATAAAACATTGGCCTTCTCTCACCTTTTTCATTCCAAGTACTTTTTCTTTTTTTCAAAAAAGAACCCACCACACAATGTAGACACTATTTTTAACAGCTTCTTCTGTAGGGTTCTGTTGGCCATTCTACACCACTCACTGTTCACCATTTTCATTCCTGTTACACTATGGGTCTTCAAGAAAATGGGGGCTGTGGACCTACATCACGCAAAGATTCCAGGCTAAATTATTTAGGAAAGTGAGAACTGCAGTTTTAGTTATGTATAGGCACCAATTAACTTTTCGAGGTGGGAGCCCAAGTCCTTTACAGCTTGATCCATGAATAAGGATTCTGTTTGGGATGAATGGTTCATTTCCATCTGCTCCCACCAGCGTGGAGCCCTAAAACATCCAGGCAGAGCCAGGTATGAAGTGAAGCACAGTCTGCCAATTGTAAAAGGTGGTGAGAGTAGCTGCCTGTCAAAAAAGTAGATGGCTAAACAGGGAGAGGGAATACCAGCAAGCTTTAGAAATCAGCTTTAACCATCAGATTAATAATTCTGAAATACAGTAACTCTGTATTTCAGAAGCTTCTTCAGAGGTGAATGTTGCCTGTTTCACATGGGAACCCACCCATCTTCTGCCAGGTTTTGGAAATGTGTTCAACTA